ACTTCCTGTGTAGGTGGCTCATATTTACGCGCCGTGAGGTGGACCGTTGGGATAATATGGAAACTATATCGAGATGCGAAGGCAGCACCTACAGTGATAATAATAAGCGTACGTAATACTCAGGGACAAGATCGACTTAGTATTTTGTCAATCATTTCCTTGGAGAAAGAACTCTTGTTACATTTAAAACGCGATTTGACTTTTTATGATGATGTTATCAAAGCATTTTTGATGAAAACCGCCGTATTGAACTAATTTATAAAAAATAATTATTTCTGTTTCTTATTTTGGTAGATATTTTAATAAATTTGTGTAAATTAAGACAGTGTTTCACCTCAACAAGAGAACAATTTTTCTTAACGATTTGTTATGGGTAAGTTAATTTAAAAAATATATATATTATACTAGCCTTTGCCTACCCTACCTCCAATGACACTGCACGCCACTGTACATATGCCACATGTGATAGGTCAAACCATAGGGTTACACTACCTCATAAAGGCTGCTAAAGAGGAAAAAAAAATTTAAGCAGAAAAAACCGAGCACCTATTATTACAAAGAAAATGAGGAAGACAAAGAGAATTGCAAAACATATCCCAATCGTGTTGTTATTAGCTTTGATTTCCTTATCTTAAGACCAGCATCTCATTTTACAAAAGAAAATTGTGGACTCTGAATGTGACAATTTACCAAATACAGGGTAATTTAAATTCTGCACTTTTTTATATGTGGAATAAAACAATCGCTCATCGAGGTGGTCAGGAAATCGCATCCTGTTTATATTAATACATAGTACATAGAAGAAATCATTATGTATAGTGACTGCTGTTGGTAATCATAAAACAACTCCAAAAGAAATGATGGCTTCTTACAATTCACCATAGCTTTTTGTCCCAGGGCATACACATATGCAGCAATTGAAAAGTAAAAAAAAAATTCGACAGTTACATTTTTGTGTATGAGATGGATCTGAAAATTTTTTTAAACTTTAAAGTCCTGCTCTCGGGTGATTTTAAACATACAAAGATTAACACTCTGGGTGAAAACGTTAAGTGGTCTTCTATTAGAAAAATAATGTATTCTCCTGATTCATTAGGTAAACTGCATAACCGGTTTTCTTTTTATGAACATTTTAAATTTATGAGCCTCTTAAGAAAAAAAAAGGAAATTTAATGTAATACACCTTAAAATTCTCTTTTGGATACTGAAGATGAACCCTCTCAAGAGGAAGAAACTTTTTAGTTTATTATATATTTTTTAGTCTGGCACAACAAAATGAAATAATAATATATTATACTTTATGCGTGTTATCTTTCAACCTAAAAGGTCAATGTCAAATAAAACTCTTTTTTTGCCTCTCAAAAAGGCCAACGTTAATTTTTTTTGGAAAATCACACTTCAGTGGATAATTTGATTAATGTGTAGGGTAAACGCTTTAGAAGATATACCAATAAAACAAACGTAATTGAATAACATAAATTTAAGAAAAAAGAAGTCAAAATAATAAGCAATTTTAAAATTGTATTTCCTACACTTTAGCAATTCTGACATTGGCCCTTTTAGAACCAAGCCACAGAAATGTATCAGCGAATCTTCATTTAATTCAATATATAGCAGTTAGATGATAGAACATAGGTTTTTATCGTATAAAGTTTATGTTTACGAATCCACTCTCGCCAAATTCTCAAAAAGAAAATACAAAATCAAAGATAGTAAGTAGATGATCATTAAGAGAAATTTTCTTATCTAATTAACCTAAAATAGAATATCTCATAATATTTAGGTATAATACAATGCCTTTACTTTCAATGACATGTTTCGTTAACAAAGTTTGAACGGATGGTGCACAGATTTTATCAGCCGCGAAAAAATTCATTTTATTCTCATGTCGCAAATCTAACATTGTTAATAGGTGTTGATCTTTTAAAAAATTCTTCACTTTATATGAGATGATCTATTGCAGCAACAAAATTACCAATATGCCTAGAAACTTTTGGATTAAAAGACGTGTTTTTAATTTTGTCCCAATATCAACTGTATCCTGAAAAAACTAGGGTTCTCACGTTTGATGTCCATACAAAACAAAATCCAGTTTTTGGGAAATATTTCATCTAGGGATAATGATGTATTTATTCGCATAGATCTGAGGAAGCGGCTATCGCCATCTAATGAATAACCCAATATTGTAATTCCAAACTGAGCTGCTTGTTTCTGCATCCACTGCCATCTTTTTCGAACATCCTTAGCGGTAAATCGGTTATCTGTACTAAATATGGACAAAGAAAAGGCTGGTGCAACTTCAGATAATAGTTGAGCTACAATCACATAAGCGTAACTTGATTTTGGACTACTTTTAAAAAGCCCTGAATAGTTTTGGCTGATGTAGCCAAGTATCCATCATTCTGTGGCAATACATGTTTTAAAGGTAGTGCAAATCCTATATTTTATTAGTCTTGTTGTCATATTCTATTTTGAAAAAGACCGTGGGAGACGCCCTCTTCGAGTTCTCTTTTCATAGTTTATGAATATCTAAACAAAGTCGTCCTTCAATATAATAAATGTACAACGAAAATTTCAGAATCACATCGCTATATTTATTTTTGTTGATGGAACCAAGAAAGTTTTGTTAACAAAGATCCTAAAGCATTGTTAAAAAACTAGTTTCATAATTAATTTTGTCTTTATCTTTAGGGAAGTCAGTTGACTCTAGAATAAATTCCTTGGTTATATTAGGATTTTTGTAAATAATGTTCATAATATATTCACCTACTTGATAAAAGTTTGTGATAGTAAGTTGTATTATACTTTCTCTTTGTCTTCTGCTTCGTTCACTTCTTTGATATTTTTTCAATGACCACTTTGATTTGGGCTAGGATTTAACTCCTGCGTTTCTCAAAAAGCTGAGCATCATAGGACTGTTACCCCCTTGTTACTTTCAAGGGACTTGCATTCTCCCCGTGGCAAGACTTCCATGATTGACATCTTGTTCATTTTTTTTACAGCATATGGTATGATCTTGTAAATATGTCCAACTTGATCACAGAGTTTAAATAGCTTAACGCCATACTTATGTGATTTACCAAGAATGTTCTGCTTAAAATTTAGCCTTCAAGTAAAAGGAACCAATGGCTCATCAATTACTAAGTTCTGATCTGGTATTTTAACTTGCTGAAATTTTGCTTAAACACGATCAAGAAGTGGCTGTATTTTACATAGTCTGTCACCTTCAATATCTTCACCAAAGTGCCAAAATCGAAGTAGTAGTTAAAAACGATTTCTGGTCATAAACGAAGACATCTCATTTTTATATATTTTTTATTAGACCAGTAGGACTCCAGAGATGGCATTTGTACCAGACCCATCCATATTCTAAGACCCAAAAGTTTTAATTTTCTTTACGTTTCTCTCCATTTTCGATACCTGCTACTTCTTTTTATAGTATTATTTTCCAAAAACTTCTTTGCGTTTTTATTTGTTTCTCCAACAATCAACTCAATTATTTCGTCTGATATAAAAAGTTGACAATAGGTACATTTATTTTTCCTTGATCTGTGAAGGAGAATGCAGGTTGTCTATTTTTGCAGTCGCTACATACTGCATCATTAGCTATATTATCGTTCACAATATTACTATTCGTGTCACTATCTCCAGAAGAATCACTTTCATTTTCATTACTGTTATTATTTTTACTAGTTTCTTCTTGATTGTATTCACTAAAATTATCGGACTCATTACTAGGTACGTACTCACTCCCAGAATCCTGGAATGGCTCTTTATCTGAACTCCAGTGGCCAATGGCTGATGTTAAATCTTCTAATTCTCGTTGAGTTAAAACTTTATTCGGATTATCGTAATCTACAATCTTCACTCGCCGCCTTTTTCAAATGAGAAAGTACACTGAAACATACAAAACTAAGTGTCAACCCATTTGGGTAGACAAAAACGACAAAAATCAGCTGATTTTCAAAAACAAATTTTGACCTATTACAGGTTTCTACATCTATAGAACATTTCTGGACCCTGTATAGAGACCTTGCCTAAGTGGGAATCATATGTTAGCCTCCTCCACAGTACAAATGGCGCCATTATCAATAAATAATTAGACCGGTTGTTGTCCACCCATTTTGATGGACACAACTAATATTTATAGTATTAATATATCTACCCAGTTGGGTGGACAAAATCGTAATTTTGTGTTTTTGTAAAATGGACTTAGCAATAAACCTGTTAAAATAGTTATTCGAAATAATAACAAAGAACTCCGCCCTTTTCTAATGGCAAAGTGGCGTTCCGTCAAATGAAATAAATTTTAAATATGATGTTGTACTCGACTTGTTGACCAAAAGTGTTCATGGGACCAATTCAATCCTATGACTAGTTTTTAAAATACAGGGTGTTAAAGTCGATAAATCGTATTTCTTGAAACTACGTAACTTAATTAAAAAGAAAAAATAAGCATTTTTAGTTGATTGTAGCATTATTATGTCCTAGTCTAACGCAAACGTACACCTAAATAGTTCAAAATGTAAACATATACAGGGTGGTACTCAGTTATATCAGGGGGAATTTTTGAAATTCTAAGAGATTCTGATATGGAATGAAAACATGGTCAAAAATAAAAACTTACTAATGTTCTGACATTATATAAACCCATTTTGCATTATATGTATACAGGGTGATTGTTAATTCATTCCACAGAAATGCGTTTCTTAAAAAAAATACCCTCTGTATATTATGGAATTTTTTATTAATATTGATTATGCAATGAATACCTGGAAAACAATACTTTTTATGTGATAGACACATCTAATTCTAATCTAATCTAATTTAACAGATTATTTATAAGAGAGTAATAAATTTTTATGACCATAAACAAATGATCTCTAATGAATTTGTTAACTATTGATAAATATTTATTGAAAGTCTTCTGTTAACGAAACTTATTATAATTTTTATATCGTCGTTTTATAGGTTAATCAAGTTAATTCAACTAAAACATAATGTCTGAAGAAATCGAAGTAGAAGTTGATGTTATTTCAAATGAAATGATTGTTGATGATTCTGATACTGATATTGATACCGACGAGGAGATTAACAATACTGATGATATTGTTACTGAAAATGTAAATAGCTCTGTACGTAGTGCTGCTTGGATGTATTTTAAGCTGGATAAAAAACAGTAAAAAAGCAATCTGCAATCTTTGTGTCCAAGTTTTAAGTTTACCTACAGGTATTTTATTTATCAATTTATCATTGTTTTTTGTCTATTATTAAATTATAATCATAAATATACATTTATATAGGAACCACTTCACCAATGTTTAATCATCTCCGAGCGAAACATAAAGATGATTATAAAAAATGTCTCGAAGAAAAAAGTGGAAAACGCAAGAATGCTGATGGCGATCAAGAAAAAAAAACAAAAAAACAAAAACAAAGTTCTCTGTCTGTTCCAGAAAAACAAGAAATTGATCAGCTCATCATGGAAATGATTGCAATTGATTTAAAACCGTTCTCTTGTTTTGAGGATCGCGGATTTAGAAATATGTTGAAAAAATTGTCTCCTGACTATGAACCACCATGTCGGACAACATTTTCCCGCAGTCTCGCTCCTATTCTTCATCATAAAACCAAACAAAAATTAATCGCGGAATTAGGTAGAGAGATAGAATCATGCCTTATGAGTCTTTCATTCACAACAGATTGTTGGAAATCTATAGCCAATGATTCTTATATTTCGTTGACTTTACACTACTTAACTGTTGATTTTTCTCAAAAAAATCTTATGCTGAACATAAAACAATTACTTGATCGACACACTGGTAGTAACCTTAAAAATCACTTATCAAACATGATGTCCGAATGAGATTTATCAAAAGTTAATAACGTACCCATTTTTTTATCACGGATAATTCCCGCAATATATCATCTGCAATTTCTCAGTTAGAAGCGATACATTTTTATTGCTTTGCACATACACTTCAGCTGGTATTAAAGGATGCTGAGACGTCGACTCCTGGCGTAGGGGAATTATTATCTAAAGTAATTTTTTCTTCTTTAATTGCATATCTATTCAATAAGTAACAAATCAATATTATTTATATTTTAATTGTGTTCTAGTTCCGAAAGATTGCTGGTCACTTCCATCGTTCAGATCCAGCACGACACAAATTTGAAGAAGCACAGAGCGCGATAAATAATTCTGAGCCTTTACAACTGATTCAAATGGTCACCACTCGATGGAATTCTGAATACGAAATGCTAGAACGGATGCAAAAATTACAAAAACCTTTGTCAACTGTTCTAGCTGAATCCAGATATTCAGAATCTATATCAGGCACTAAATGGTCCACAGTGAATTATTTATTAAAAGTGATGAAGCCTTTGTATGATGCTACTCAAATGTCATGTGGCGTTAAATACCCTACGTTATTAATGGTTAAACCTTTGCTATATGGCATTATAAATGGTTAAAAAAAAATCGAATTTGATTATGAGGAAGAAGCAGAAGTAGGGGGAGAATTTGCGGACAATATTTTAAATAATCTTGAGGTTAGATTTTCAGAGGTTGAACATGATATTATGTTTAAGAGATTGTGCAATTTTTAATGAATGACGAGGATTCTAAAGAACATGCTCCTCTTACTAGGGAAAGTAAGTATTTGTAATATTCAAATTCATTAGTTTGATTATCGTCCCCGTTCTAAGTAAGCCTCGTGACTACATTTTTATTTTAAATTTCAGCTAGTGGAAAACAATACTTTGATTTTTGGAGGAGCTTCATGAAGAAACCAGCTATCGATATTCGACAAAAAAGTTTACAAGATTTGCGAAAAGAAATTTCGCAAGAAATGACATATTATGTTAACTCTGAACTTATAATTCCTCACCAAGATACACTTTTATGGTGGCGAGAAGAGAAAAACAAATATCCTCGATTGTCAACTATGGCAAGAAGATATTTGGCGATACCTTGCACTTCTGCCGAGAGTGAGAGACTATTTTGAACAGCTGGAGATATTGTCACAGTCAAACGTACGTCATTATCATCTGATTCAGTGTCTTATTTGTTATTTTTAAACAAGAATTTGTAGTTATATGTAGTTAAATAAATTTGTATTTCTACTAGAACAGCTTCTGCTTTAAATATCCTTAACCATTACTCCGGTTAAATAAAACTACGAGTAATATATTTATTTGTAATTTGTACTTTCAATGTTTTTCATGATAATGCTATGATTTGTTTATGAAGTACTTAAAATGTTTAGCAGATTTAAACATCTCAAAATTCGAAAATTATCCAAAAAATTAACGAATAGTTCTGAAATTTTTGAATTATTCGAAAAATTTTGGAATTATTCGAAAATTTTCGAATAATTCGTGGATTTTTCGAATACTTCGAAATTTTCGAATAATTCGCAAATTCGGAAATCGAAATTTGGAATCGAATAATAATATTCGATTCGAATTTCGAATCGAATAATAATAATAATAATAATATTCGATTCGATACGAATAATTCGTAAATTCGAATTATTCGCACACCCCTAAATAATTACCAATTTTGTTAGACACGTAATATTCTTTTATAAAAAATTGCTTGTGGTTCTGATAAGAACCAATTAATGTAGTTTTATTGTAGACATGGAAAGTAATCAAATGAAATAAAGTGTATTACTTTAAATGTGTACAGTAGTTTGTTATGGATTTGGTATCATCTATAAGCATTATTTTAGTAAATGGTAAATATTTTTTTATAAAATTTCTGTACCCATTTCAATATTTTCAGGTAGAATTTTGTCATGTGCATCATCAATATAATTTAATAGTTTGATTGATGGAAACTTAACATGTTCTTGATGCCTGGCAAAACCAAGGAACCATATAACACTTGCCACATGAGCACATGTTCCTAGGGTTCTAGTTCCTGACCTGCAAGTACAGTAATATCCCAAGATTAATTGCTTATCATCGTCATCATTAGGATCTCTATAAACTACCCACATCATATGTTTAGTATTATTTTAAGGTGAAGGGGGAGAAAAAGTCGTTTATATCTCACAAGGAAAGTTAATGTTTATTTATTCAATAAAACATTGGGTGCGACCGGTTTCGAAGTATCATTACTTCATCTTCAGGCTCGCCTAGTGGAAAGGAGAATATGTGGTGTAAGGTGTGTTAACTTTGAGCCAACGATATATAAAATAGTAAAAAAGAAAACTCACCATACTCTCCATCCACTAGGGAATACTACAAACAAGTTTCATCAAATGTGGGGGATGAAATAAATTGTAAAATAAACAATGTTACAAGTTATATAAAAGTTAAAAATATTTGAAAAACAAATATTAGTCAGTTTAAATAGTTAAAAATTTAAAATTTTCAAGACTATACAAAACAAAACACATACATTAAACAGATTAAAAGAGAAGGCTTATTTTAAACACATTGTTGTTTTTTAAAAATAATTAGTAGTGTTACTTAACCTAACATTTTTGAAAGGAGACCTGTCAAGTTAAGGCCTCTACAGGTGGTGGTAAGTAATAACAAAAAATTCTTGGATAAACTTATGACAGGGTATAGGTAATAAGATGCAAACTATGAGTGAAGAAATATTTATTATTTATTATATAAGATTTGGGCCATGAACCAATTACCAAGTGTATGTGATGTTGTAGGATAAAAAAGAAATGACTGGGTTAACTGTTGTGAAGCAACTGAAAAATGAAAGAAGAAAATGACAGAATATGAATATCACATAACCTAATCTTTAAACATGCTCGTTGGTTTTTTGTGGGAAAAAATTACTTACTGAAATGTACCCCTTGCAAGAAAATATGTGAATAGAAATAAAGGGGGAGGTTAAAAAGGAGTCAAAACGATAAATTTAGATTAGTGTTGAGAAAACTGGAGGAGTTTCTGACATTATCTGGGCATTTAAGCAACCAACAGGATTTAATTTTAAATTTCTCAATATCTCGAGGCTTTCGAAGCTATTAAGAGTAAATCTATGGTAGGAACTATGTAGGATTTCGAAACCTTCAGTTGAATCGAAGTCGTGATTTGAGTCTAGTAGGTGGTTGGCAAAATGTGAAAATCCTCTTGTATTTTGGTTAAGACAACGCAAATGTTCTTTTAAACGGATCTTAAAATTTCGAAATGTGCGTCCCACATAGAAAGAATGGCATTATTTACAAGTTAATTTATAAATTCCAGATAAGTCAAAGGGATCTAATTTATCTTTATTATGAACAAATAACTTGTGTAATGAGGAGGGGGTTTTGAATGATACTTTAAAGTGGTCTTTAAGTAAGCTTGCCACTTTATAGGATGCTTTTCCAATAAAGGTAAGAGAAATGTATTTCTTACTCGTGGTTAGTTCATGTACCATATTAGGATTGTTAATATAAACTAAGTTTTGTTGAATTTTATTTTGTTCATGTGTTAGCATTTTATCAATAATATCTAGTTCAAAGTTGTGATCTATAGCAATAGTTTTAATTATATTTAGTTCCTTATTAAAGTTTTCCGTAGACAGAGGAACTTTTAATAGCCTCTCTAAGTAGCAATTAAAGGCAGCCAATTTATGTGTTGCTGGATGGTTAGAGGTATTGTCTATAACTGTGCCTGTATGTGTTGGCTTTCTATAGATGTCAAAGTTGAACTTGTTATTATTGTGTGAGATTTTAAGATCTAAGAAGTTGATAGATTGGTTTATTTCAATTTCTAATGTGAATTTAATATTAGAATGTAAGTCATTAATATAAGTCAAGAAGTCATTTAATGAGTCTAAGTTACCTGACCATAAAATCAAAATATCATCAACATATCTATAATAGAATTTCACATTTAAGTGGAAAAGGTTATTTTTAAGGATTTTTTCTTTTTCAAAATTGTGCATAAATATGTCTGCTAATATTGGGCTAAGTGGAGATCCCATAGAAAGTCCATTTGTTAGTGAAAAAATTTCATTGTTGAATGAAAAAAGTTTTGTTCTAAACAAACCTTGAGAAGGTTCAAAAATTCTACTAGTTCAATATCAGACATATTCGAACTTGACAAATGTGATTCAACAAAAACCTAGAACTTCTGGTATAGGAATATTTGTGAATAAGTTGGATACATCTAAAGAGATCAAAGAATATATCATTAACGTGAACATTTTTGATGTTGTTTACAAGTTGTACACTTGTAAACAACATCAAAAATGTTCACATTAATGATACAGATTGCACTCAATGTTTTATTGAATAAATAAACATTGACTTTCCTTGTGAGATATAAAGGACTTTTTCTCCCCCTTCACCTTAAAATTACCTCAACTCACACATGGCTACCCCCCTCAATGTTTAGTATTATTTCTAAATCTAGAATAAAGCCGGAATCTTAAAAAGTTCGGTTCTTCCACGTGTTCATCGAACTGTAAAATATAATCTTCCTCTTTGTAATTTGTCCTGGATATAAGAACTGGCGAGATAAACATGATATGGACTTGTTACATTTTTTAAATATTCTTGTGATAAATGTGGAAATATTGGTACATGCCTGTGATCTAATCATGTCCATTGACCATGTCGTCCTCCAAGAGTTTTTTGTTCTACTGAACAATATTTACATCTTCAGAATAAGTTAACATTTGATTTGCTAACTCCACTGTTCCAGGTAATGCTATTAAAGGATGGAATTTAGTAAGTAAGGTGCCAGCAATAGAATAAAACTCCCGCAGTTTTGCTGCGTGAGTTACGCTAATTCGTCCAGAAAAAAAATTTCAAAATGGAGTTTAAATGTCCATTTCTCGTCTCTACTATCTAGCGCGTACTTGTTATTAAACGAGCCGTATTTGCTTGTTAACGTTGTTAGCTGTGGTCGATTTCTAGGTAAAAATGATGGCATATGATAGTGTAGACCTAGTTCTTCTAACAACGGAAAAGTCTCTGTATCCTCTATCTACTATCACCACGTCATCTTCAGAAAACCAAGTTCGCATTCCGTTGACGTCGTTTGCGAATTCATAATCCAAAATAGATGCATCATTGTTCTTTGAATCAGAAAAATATAGTCGATTAATAGCTAACATATATATGCGTCAGGAGCACATATAATTTCAGGTTTCACTAAATGTTTATTTTTGTAAAAGCAATAAGACTGTCGCAGTGTCCGGAAATTGCTGCTTTTCTCTATTTCATTATAGGTGCAATCTATATATGCTATAGCTTTAAGGTCTATGCCCACTATACCGTACCATACTATGACCGTGCCCGGACCTGATTTTTTTTTTGTATAGATTCAAATGAGGATGGTGTGGTCGATGCCGGGCCGGTTTAGTGGGCATTGTTTCATTTAAATCTATACAAAGAATATTTTTCTGCCTATGCCGGTACGGTCACGGTCATAGTATGATCCGATGTAGTGGGCATAGACCTTTAGGAATATCAGGAGTAGGATTGTACAATTGATTAATGTATGGAGATACATGGTTGTTGATATAATCCTCCCTTGTAATTGATTCGAACCCTATATGGCTTAGTACAAATCTATGTTGCAAGCAGTGGCGTAGCCAGCCTTGCGGGGCGGGGGGGGGCAAACATTTTAAGGGGCGTTTTATGATTTTTTAGAACCACTATTTTTATTATTATTATTAAAAATACGGTATTTTGTATTATAAAATGTATTTATTAAAAAACAAAAAGATATAAAAACAATCATCATAATCTAAATAATAAACAAAAATAAATTTATACAATTTAAAGAATACAGACAAAAACACTGTCACATTCGTAAATAAAAAAACATATTTATACTAAATACTCTAGTTATACTATACAGTGCGCATAATAAGTCTTACCCTCCCTATCTAACTCGTTACTGGACTCTTGTTAGGAAAATCGCCGAGACAGGTCGATTTTTGATTTTTAGAATGTACATTTTTGTATAAATAGTTTTCCCCTAATTTCATCCCTTACTGGAGGGGAGCAACCCTTTCAAAAAATTTAAATAGCATGGGGTG